CCTCAAAGGCCATGGGGTATTATAATGTGATTCAAAAAGAGACAAAGAGAAAATGCATGGTCTGTATTTGTTAACATTTATATATTTTCTCTTTCTTCCTAAATATATATTACAAGAAAAAGTTCACTGTGTAGGGGAAATATATACTTGAAAATAAATAAGATATAAGAACCAAAGACATCAAAATAAAACAAAAATATGTGAAGAAAAAAATTAAGGTTTATGTTTATTTCTTTTATTTCATAAAATGAAAATATTTTATGTTATAGCTTTACTCCATAGATCATTTAACTATTAGTATGTGTTCTACATGTTAAGTTTAGAACAATTTATTTTAAAAGAGGGAATGGAATCTTCTCCACAAGAAATTTGCCATTCTTTACCAATTTAGGATTTGCAGACTTACTCACACTTATTTGCCTTGCCTACAATATAGACTCAGTCTGAGCCAATCAGGAAACCTCATGTTTGCACAGTGGAAGGTTATGGCATGTTCTGTCTATATTCCTATATATTCACTTACTACCTGACTGCCTCTTTCTATGACCAAAGGAAAGACAAGGAAATACAGGTACAATGTTCCTATTACCTCAAAAATAGAATTACCACTCCATAAATACAAACAAACAAACAAAGCCATCACCTACAATGATCTTGCTCTGATTTCCACTGGTCTAGAATGTAAAAACCCTTCCTCTCTGGAAATGTCCTATGTATCCTTTAAGGCTCAGCTCACAATCCACTTCTTCCAACTACTACTATAATCCAAAGTAATGTTGTGAGTTTCAAAAGGTCAGGAATGTGAACCATCAAGGTTAAAGAGTTGAGTACATGCTGGGTTTTGCTGCCAGGCCAGCATTAATGCTAGAAGGATTGAGGAGTGACCTTCAGGGCTTGGTGTAGTCATAACTGAAACAAAGACTCATTTGACAGCAATACCATTTTTGGGTGTGAACTTAATGAGACCAATGCCATATAGAAATTGAGCAATGTCTAAACCCATTCATCCCAGAGACTGAGGTGATATAGGGTAGAGTACTGGGGGACATATTTTATACTTTTGTTATTGCTGTATCTTCCAAGTAAATTTTTCTTTGTAATAGATAATTGATGTCAGTTAAATGGAACTAGTATACTAGTTACTAACAGTGGAGGAGATAAACCTAGAATGGGGGCCAGTGGAAAGACACCTCACCCCATCAAGGCATATCCCTAGAATCTTGAGGGTGGATATAGCCAACCTGCTTCTGGGAGAGTGAGCCAGAGAATATAACTGCATATAGAAGAGAGTCACAATTTTATACAGAATTCTTTTTGTTTTTTATGTGTATGGAAATGCTTTTTAAAATTTTTAAAAAATTTTTTGGTGTTTAAGTTCTGAATTTTAAAAAATGTTCCAAAAAATTTTTTTAAAAAAGCAGATAGTCCTTGCCCTCAAGGAGATTACATTATAACAGGGAAAGACAACACATATACTGTTGGCTAGGGAGGGGTACTTTGGTTCCAAAAAATTTCAGGGATTGTGAATGGGGCCATAAAAGATTGACAAACTTCTTCTAGGAGCAATCCATTTTGAGCTTATTGTGGTATAAGATTGTCTTTCAAGGGCAACCATGTGGCATAGTGGATAGAGTGCCAGGCCTGGAATCAGGAAGATCTGAGTTCAAATTCAGCCTTAGACTCTTACTAGCTGTGTGAACCTGGGCAAATCACTTAGCCCAGTTTGCCTCAATTTCCTCATCTGTAAAATGAGCTGGAGAAGGAAATAGTAAACCATTCTAGTATCTTTGCCAAAAAAACAAAAAACAAAAAACAAACAAACAAAAAAACCCAAATGGGATCACAAAGAGTTCAAGCACAACTGAAATGACTGAACAACAACCTAATTTCTTCAAATTGATTTCCAGTTTTCCTAGCAGTTATTGTCAAATAGAGTTCTTCCTTAAGTAATTTGTATTTTTGGATCCAAAACTGGGTTGTTGAGTTCAATTGTGTCTGATTCATCCCTATTTAGTCTGTTCCACTGATCTACTTTTCTTTTTTTAACCAGCAACAAATAGTTATGATAAACTTCTAATGATTTTCAAACTTAATTTCACATACACTAAATAGCTTGGTGTATATTTAGAAAAGGTAGCAGAAGCATGAAGTAAACTTTAGGACACAGTGCCTGGCACATAGTAGGTACTTAATAAATGTTTGCTAATTGATTTATATTGAGAATGACAGATTACTTGGGGGAAATTATCTATGACATAGTTAACATGTATTATGGATAATAATAAGTGGAAATGGTGCCACAAATTAGTATTAATATTAACTCTGCACAGATTTTTGAATGCAAACAGAATGGAATGCCAAAATTGGGAGACATGCATAGAATATTTTTTCAATATACATAATCTGAAAATGCCTTCAACTGCATTAAAAAACTGAAAGAACTAAGTTTTGCTTTATGTTTTATATTTTCATTATTCTTAAGATTATTTTGTGCTAGTGCTGTGTTTATGCTCAAATAAATTTACTTTTCTAGTTTTATCCTGACTCATGTTTGTATTTTAGAGTTCCTACTCAGCTGTTGTCTTTTCTTTGTTTTTTTTTGTTTGTTTGTTTTTTTGGTTTTTTTAGGCAATTGGGGTTAGGTGACTTGCGCAGGGTCACACAGCTAGTAAGTGTCAAGTATTTGGTCTGGGGCCACATTTGAACTCAGGTCCTCCTGACTTCAGGGCCGGTGCTCTATCCACTCGCCACCTAGCTGCCCCTTCAGCTGTTGTTTTTTCAGTAGAAATATTTGAAAACCTCATCACCTCAGGCCTGGACTACTGCAATAGTGCTGGTGGGTCTGCCTCAAGTCTCTCTATACTCCAATGGATCCTCCATTCAGCCACCAAAGTGATTTTCCTAAAGTGCAGGTCCAAATATATAGCTCTACCTCCATCTCCCCACTCAGTGAACTCCATGGGCTCTCTTTCATCTCCAGGATAAACTAGAAAAATCCTGTTTAGTGTTCAAAGTCCTTTATAACCTAGTCCCCTCCTACCTCTACAATCTTTTTACTCCTTACTCCCAGCCATGTACTCTTCTATTCCATAACAAGGTCCTCCTTGTTGTTCCTCAAACAAGACACTCCATCTCTGGGCTCCATGCATTTTCTCTGGTTGTCCCCTATACCTGGAATGCTCTCCCTCCTCATCTACATGTACTAGCTTCCCTGGTTTCCTGTAAGTCCCAACTAAAATCTCATCTTTTGAAGCCTTTCCCAATACCTCTTAATTAAAGTGCCTTTTCTCTGTTGATGATTTCTTATTCATCCTTTATATAGCTTGAGGGCAGGGACTCTCTTTTGTCTTTATCTGAGCACTTAGCACAGTGCATGGCACAGAATAGGCACTTAATAATGTCTGCTGTTTGACTAACATTGAATGTTTATTCCCCACCCTACCCCTTTTTTGCCCTAAGGGATGACACCCTTTTCCAGGGTAGGTTATTGTTGGTTGTAAGTTTGTTATTTTTCCCTTTTAGAGTATTATATTCCAAGATGTCCTTTCATTTGCCATAAGAGCTTCCAAGACTTGTATGATCTTGAATATGGTTCCTTGGTACTTGAACTGCTTCTTTCTGGATGCTTGCAGTAATTTTTTGTTGATGGGAGAGCTCTGGGTTTTGGCTATTTCATTGCTGGAATTTTTCCTTTTGAGGATCTTTTCAAGAGGTAATTAGTGAATTTTTCTATCTTTACTTTTCCTCTGGTTCTAGTAGATCTGGGAAGTTTTTATTCAAGAGTCCTTAAAATATAGTGTCCAGGCTTTTTAAAAAAATTTTTTTCATTTTCAGGGAGTCCTGTTAGAAATACGCTTGACACCTAAAATTTAGTATTAAGAAAGTTTATTACAGAGAAAGTCCAGAGGATTAGAGTTTCTGGCCAGAAGCAGGCTCCACCCCTCTTAGTGAGGGGTGGGCCCTGAGTGCAAGGGCAAGCATGTTTTTATACATTCAAATTTGGCACGAAACCTCTCAGGCTCGGATTGGTCCATCCCTTCCCAGGTTACACCCCTCCTTACCTGTTTCCCCTTGATATGCTCAAGTATGTTCCCCCTCCTTTGGTCATACATCCCATGACTCATTAATGAGGCTCTAATTTTATGCGGGGTGTGTCAGATAATAGTAATGAAGTTCATTAAGTAGGTACACTAACATTTTTCAGGTGTCCTCAGGTTGACCCTAACTGGTCTGAGCTGGCTTGACCCTTATCTTGAATTTGGAGTCTTTTCAGAGCCATCAACTTACTTCTTATAGGTTAAGTCCTCGCCCACCTACAGTGTGCTAATTGTTCTTTAAATCTCTGCGTTATTCCCTTTCTCTGTGGAAATATAACCTCTACCTGACTCTCACAGTCCAATGACGCTTTTTTTTTTTAGTTTAATGATTCTTAAATTATGGATCCTTCTTCCCCCCCCCCCCCCCCCGCCTTGTCTAGGTCATTTTGTTTTTTGTTTTTTTTTTACATTAGCTAGCTTCCATTGTCTCTATTTTTGCAGTCTTTTGACTTTGTTCTAATATTTCCTGCTGTCTTGTGGATTCACTGATTTGTTTGGTCTTTTCTGGTTTTCAGGGAGTTTATTACTTGTGCATGACTTACCATTTTCTCTTCTAAGCTATTTATTCTTTCTCCCAGAGGTTTTTTTTATCTTTTGCTACATTTCTTCTTAATATTCATGTAATCCTTGTGGAAAATCCATTTTTTCCTTTGAGTCACTACTTGCAGTTGGTACAGTTATTTGCTCCTTTTGAGGGGAGAGAATCTCTAGATCTACCAAAAAATTTTATACTTGGTGGTTTTTTAAAAATAATATTTTCTCTTCTTGCCACGCAGCCGTGAGACCGGCTGGTTGTGCTGCTGGTAAAGTAATGTGGCCAAACTCACACAGCTTTTAAGTAGACAGAGTCTCTGACCCTACAGTTGAGTACATTTCCCACTCTATCTTTGGTACGCTATAACCATGGCTCGTGGTCCCAAGAAGCATCTGAAGCATGTAGCATCTCCAAAGCACTGGATTATGGATAAGTTAACAGGAATTTTTGCTCCAAGACCATCCACAGGTTCCCACAAACTGAGAGAATGTCTCCTACTCATCATCTTCCTGAGAAACAGATTCAAGTATGCCCTGACTGCAGATGAAGTAAAGATCTGCATGCAGCGATTCATCAAGATTGATGGCGAGGTCCGCACTGATATTACATACCCTGCTGGCTTTATGGATGTCATTAGCATTGAGAAGATGGATGAACATTTCTGGCTGGATGTCATTAGCATTGAGAAGATGGGTGAACATTTCTGGCTGGCTTATGACACAAAGGGACGCTTTGCTGTTCATTGTTTTAATGACTATTTCCTCCTATAACTCATTTAACTTCTCCTTTAACAATTTGGGGTGCAGGGTGTATTCAGAGAAGACTAGTACCTGTGATGTGAGGGCTGCTTTCCACTTTTGCTGTCCACATGATCCACCCAACTCTCATCTGTAGCTCCAAGAAGCTGTAGCACATACAGTGGCTATACTTCAGTAAACCATTTTAGCAGACAGGCTAACCAAACTGAGGATAACCAAGGGGTCTCAAACCCTTCAGTGAGTTAGGGGGTGTGTGTCTACTCCAAGCATGTGAAGACTTCCCTCAGCAAAATGGGTAGATGAGAACAATATGTTCCAATGGCTATGAAGGCAGCTGAAGCAGGCACTGTGGAGTGCTTAGAGCATAGTTAGACATCAAAGACATTAAAATCATCCACTGCATCCTAAGCCATCAACAGTCATCTTAACTTTGTTTTGCCACTGGACTTTGATGTGAGAGAACTCAGCCAGGTATCACATCCATATAGCAGCCCTGAGTAAAACAAGGTTAGCAAATGAAGGACAGCTTACCAAAGTTGGAGCTGGATACATGTCTTTCTGGAGTGGCCACAGTGAAGGGGAGCTCCATGAAGCTGTCATAGGCTTTGCAATCAAAACTAATCTAGTCAACAATCTTCTGCCTACCAAAAAGAGTGAATGACAGGCTCATGACAATGTAATTGTCACTTGCAGGAAAACACTATGCCATTATCATCAATGCATATGCTCCCACTAAGACAAACCCTGATGAGGTCAAAGAAAAATTTTATGAAGACCTGGAGACTTTCATCATCAATGTCCCAAAAGAAGACAAACTTAATTCAAGAGTAGGCACAGACTACTAGATGTAGCAGGGAGTCCTTGGGAGGAATGGAGTCAGAAACAGCAACAGCAGTGGTCACTTACTACTGAAGACTTGTGCATCTTATGATTCTCATCACCAACAGTTCTTCCATTTACTTAAATGCAATAAAACTTCATGGATGCACCCTCACAGCAAACACTGGCATTTAATAGATTATGTCATTGTAAGGAGAAGAGACAGACAGGATGTGAGAGTGACAAAGGTGATGTGTGGTGCAGAGTGCTGGACTAATCATAGACTAATCCTCTCCAAGCTACAGACCCATGGCAAGACAACTACCAGAAGACTTAATGTTAACAGATTAGAATGCTGCACCAAGCCAGAACAATTCATTGCTAACTTGGAGGGAAAGCTAAGCCAACACAAGGTTGGCAACAGTGGAGCAGAAAAGGAGTGGGCAGCTTCCAGAGATCTGGTGTAAAGCACTGCTGTAAATAAGTAAATACTCATCTAAGTCAGAATACTGGCAAAAACATCAAGATTAGTTTGACAAAAAAGATGGAGAAATTCAGAAGCTGCTAAATGAAAAAAAAAATGAGAACTCCACAGGGTTTACCAGCAGGCTAGGTCATCCAACTCTAAGAAGGCAGTATTTAACTTCATAAACAGTGAAGTGCAAGTGAAGCTCATAGAGATAAAGGATTCTTGGCTCAGTAATAAAGCAGATGAAACTAGTTTTATGCTGATAGTAATAATCCAAAGTGCTTTTATGATGCCTTGAAGGCTATTTATGAGCCAAAGACCTATGGTGCATCTCAACTACTCAGTGCTGATACAGTCACATTGATTAATGATAAGGACATGATCCTGGAGAGATGGGATGAACATTTCCATAGTGTTCTCAACAGACTGTCATCAATCAATGCTGAAGCCACTGACCCTTTATCTCAGGTAAATCACTCTTTAGCTGAATTTCCAACTGAAGAAGAGATTTTGAATGCCATTAGGCTGTTCTTGTGTGGCAAAGTGCCTGGTGCTGATTCTATTCTAGCTGAGATTTACAAGGCAGGGGGTCCACTGCTCATACAAAAGCTGACTGAAATTTTCCAGGTTATATAGCAAAAGGAGGTTATCTCTCAGGAGTTCTAGGATGCCTCCATTGTCCATCTCTATAAAGGTAAAGGAAATAGATTGGCCTGTGACAATAACAAGGGAGTCTTTCTCTTAATCATTACTGGCAAGATTCTTGCCAGAGTCCTCCTTAATAGGCTTAGCCTTCACCTAAAAGATGGCCATCTACTTGAGAGCCAGTGTGACTTTAGAAAAGGCCAAGGAACAGTTGATATTGTGTTTGCTGCCTGACAACTCTAAGAGAAATGCCAGGAGCAGAACAGAGGTCTACACAACGTCCATCAATCTGACAAAGGTCTTTGACACTGTCTGTCAAGGGCAGTATGGAAAACTGGCAAAATTTGGGTGCCCAGAGAAATTCATCGGTATTGTATATCAATTTCATGAAAGCATGCTTGCCCAGGTTCTAGATAAGGGATGATGTTCTCTCACTTCCCTAGTCACCAAAGCAGTGAAGCAAGGCTGTGTCCTTGCTCCCGTGCTTTTCAGCATTGTGATGACTGAAAATTTCCAAAAGACAGAGTTTCTGGGTATATTATAATCAATTTTATTAACTATATCTAGAAAGCTGTTAACAAAATAGGCTTATTGTTCCCCTTGGTGAGCAAAGAGACAAAGTCTGTTGAACCTTCGATATTTATAAATTCTTTTCAAAGGGTGTGTACCTGAGGGTGGAAATCAACTCTGATTGGTTAATAAATAATGAGAGAATCAATATCATAATGAGAGGTGGGCTTATTCCAACGAGGGTCTTGGGTTACATGACACTAAGCACCCAGTCTTGGTCAAAGAGACTTATCAATATCCACATTACCCATCTGACAAAATGAAGAATCCACATTTTCCCAGACCTGTTTGAGTAAACACAATGAACAGGAATCTACCAATTCACCTAAACTTAGAATTTCTTTACTCTCTTTGATTAGATCTTAGCCTTCCTGGCTAGGTAAATCTTGCCCAAGACTTCCCACAATGGTTGATTTCTGGATGAGGAAGTGGAAAACACATTAGTCTTAATTCAATAATTGGTTATTAACATATGAAAGATAGAATTACTTCTCTCAGCATGATGTTTTCAGCAATGTTGTCAGATGCCTTCAATGAGGAAACGCATGGCATCAAGATCAACTACTGCACTGATGGTAAATTATTTAACTTGAAAAGGCTACAAGCCAAGATTAAAGTAGAGGGACAGTTGGTAAATGATTTTTTTGTTCACAGGTGATTGTGCACTGAATGCAGCTTCTGAAGTTGAGATGCAACAAAGTATGGACTGATTCTCCGATGCTTGTGTTAATTTTGGTCTAACAATTAACACCACGAAAACAAAGGTTCTCCACCAACCAGCACCACACCTCCATATGTGAAACCATCAGTTACAGCAAATGGAGAATTTTTTAATATTATGGATAAGATCACTTATAGTTGCAGGATTCTGGTTTTTATCCCTTTGCTATCCCCTTCCACTTTTATTGATGAGTTCATCTCATTCACATTCAGGGTTATGATTACTGTGTTTTGTGTTGTCCATCCTATTTTTCCCATTTATTCCCCTCCCCCTTTCACCCTGTCCCTCCTCACAAGTGTTTTGCTTCTGACCTGTACCTCTGCTAATCAGCCCTCTCTTCTATCACTCCCTCCCCCTTCTCTAATCCCTCTCCTTTCCTACTTCCCTATAAGGTAAGATAGATTTCTATACTCAACTGAGTGTGTATGTTATTCCCTCTTTGAGCCAATCCCAATGAGAGGAAGGTTCAAGTGCAGCCCACTCTCCCCCCAACTTCCCCTCCATTGTAATAATTCTTTCACACTTCTTTAATGAGATGAAATTTACCCCATTCTACCTCTCCCTTCCCCCTTCTCCCAGTTCATCCTTCTTTCTCACTCCTTAATTTTGTTTTTTTAGATATCATAGTAAGCTCACACCCATGCCCTTTATCTTCTAACTGCCCTAATAGTGATAAAGTTCTTAAGAGTTATAAGTATCATCTTCCCATGTAGGAATGTAAACAGTTTAACCTTATTAAATCCCTTATGTTTTCTCTTTCCTGCTTACCTTTTTATGCTTCTCTTGAGTCTTGTATTTGAAAGTCAAATTCCCTTGCTTTTTTCGTCAGAAATGCTATTTCATTAAATTTCCATTTTTCCTCTGGAAGGATTATACTCAAGTTTGCTGGGTAGGTGATTCTTGGTTGTAATCTAACTCCTTTGCTTTCCAGAATATCATATTCTAAGCCCTCTGTTCCTTTAAAACATGGAAGCTGCTAAATCCTGTGTAATCCTGACTGGCTAATCATAATTTCACAGTATTTGAATTGTTTCTTTCTGGCTTCTTGCAGTATTTTCTCCTTGACCCTGGGAGCTCTGGAATTAGGCTATAATATTCTTGGGAATTTTCATTTTAGGATCTCTTTTGGGAGGTGATTGATGGATTCTTTCAATTTTTATTTTACCCTCTGGTTCTAGAATATCAGGGCAGTTTTCCTTGACAATTTCTTGAAAGATAATTTCTTGAAAGATAGCTTCTTTTTTTGATCATAGCTTTCAGGTAGTCCAATAATTCTTTTTTTGGCTAGGCAATGGGGATAAGTGACTTGCCCAGGGTCACACAGCTATTAAGTGTTATGTGTCTGAGGCTGGATTTGAACTCAGGTCCTCCTGAATCCAGGGCCAGTGCTTTATCTACTATGCCACCTAGCTGTCCCTTTAGTCCAATAATTCTTAAACTATCTCTCCTGGATCTATTTTCCAGGTCTGTTGTTTTTCCAATGAAACATTTTACATTTTCTTCTATTTTTTCATTCTTTTGATTTTGTTTGATTATTTCTTATTTCATGGAGTCATTAGCTTCTACTTGCCCAATTCTAATTTTTTTGGGGGGGGCTAGGCAATGGGGTTAAGTGACTTGCCCAGGGCCACACAGCTAGTAAGTGTTATGTGTCTGAGGCCAGATTTGAACTCAGGTCCTCCTGAATTCAGGGCTGGTGCTCTATCCACTGTGCCACCTAGCTGCCTCCCAATTCTAATTTTTAAGGAATTATTTTCTTCAGTGAACTTTTGTACCTCCTTTTCCATT